CATCAGTGAATCCCTCATGTTTGCCATGTTGCTTGCTCTAGCTGGTGCTCAATTAAACTGGTCCTCCCACAAGGTACTAAGTGGTCCTAGTTTTTTTTTTAATGCTGAGCACACCGAGTGTTAAGACCCATTCTATACTGACCAGGCATCTCAGGCCAGTCATGCCAAATTTGGAGGCAGGAAAAATAAAACACTGATTTATGTTTGGAGCACTAGTGGTAACAACACAGATCTATGTTTGGATAGTTTAACCCTTTCAGGGTTGGTGCCATAGTACGGCTTGCACGCCAGGGTTAGTGCTGTACTAGTATGCATAAATTCTAGTGGCTTCAAAATAAGCGGAAAACACCTGGTAGGCCTAGATGTGAGAGAATGGGTGTGCCTGGTCGGTGTGCGCGGTAGAAAAAATTCTGGGACCCAGTGGCGCATTGTGGGAACGCCATTTTAGTAGACCTTGTTCACCATGCCTCACGGTAAGAAGCTCCTCACTCCTCGGCAAATTGGGACACTTTTGTTCCCCAGTGACAGTTCTAATACAGATGGAAGTGCCAGTGAAGATGAGTTTCAAGGTTTTAACCAAAACTAATGACCATAATATCGGTAACAGTGAGGAAAACCCAGACGACACTCAGCCTTCCACTTCTGGTGCTGGGCCGTCTTGTTCACGCTCAGTTGTACCAGAATCAAAGAGGAAACTCCTATTTTCCCAAATCCCAGACTCAGATGTGAGCATTTGTGATGATAGTGATAGTGATTATGAACTACAAGCTCTTCAAACTAGTTCCAGTAGTGATAGTGAAGTGCAATATTCCCCAGTGAAGCATCAGTATATACGACGATATATGCTCTCTGGTAGTGTGCCATATGCTATTCCAAGGGGAAGGAGTACATCTCGAAGTACATACCGTGGCTGTACAACAGGAACTGACAGTGAAAATGACGATGATACTGTTGCAATTGGGATGGAAAATGTGCATGGTGGTGGTAGTGGTGGTGCCGGCCATGAGGCACCAGCAGTGGGCCATGCTGCCACCCACGCCACTGCCTCAGCTGATCTACAACAAAGACCACCATCCCCCACCCACCCACCACACCAGCCTCCACAACCACAACCTCCACAACCACAACCACCTGTCAATATCCAGTACCCACCAACAGACCGCACCTGGGATTGGCTGGAAGCTGCCAATTTTGTTCCCAATCCCAATCACTTTGATGAAAGTCTAAGTGGAATACGGCCATCTTGTACACTTGGGAACAATGCCAGTGAACTGGAATGTTTCAAGTTATTCTTTGACGAACCCCTGATGGAAATTGTCAGGGAAAGCAACAGATACTACGAGTACACCATGGCAAACACAATACTTTCACCAAACTCATGCCTACACCAGTGGAAGGAGACAACTGTGGCTGAGATGTATCTTTTGTTTGCCACAATAATGCTTATGCCACATGTGCATAAGCACAGTGTCAACACATACTGGTCGACAGATCACCTGATTTCAACCCCAGCTTTCAGTGACATTATACCAGTGAATCGATTTGTGCTACTATTATGTATGCTTCACTTCTCAGACAAAACCAGGCCTGACAGAAATGACAGGTTATGTAAGATTAGGAATGTGTTTGTGTATCTAAAACAGAAATTCAGTATGTATTTTTATCCCTTCAGGAAGCCTGTTATTGATGAGTCTTTGATTCTGTTCAAAGGACGACTCTCATTCAAGGAATACATACCAAGCAAGAGGAAACGCTTTGGTATAAAGTTGTTTGTGCTTTGTGATTGTTACAGTGGTCTTGTATTGGATATAATTGTGTATACTGGAAATAATACATTGCGAGATACCAGGAAGTTACTGGGTATCTCCGGTGATGTGGTTAGAACAATGATGTAACCATATCTTGCTAAGGGACATATATTATATACTGATAACTGGTACACAAGCCCCTTACTCAGTGATTTCTTGCGAGTGAACATGACAGATGTGTGTGGCACAGTGTGTGCAAATCGTAAACATATGCCCAGGTTCGACGCTGGCACTCGTAGAGGTGAGGTGCAGGCCTTTGCTGCCAATGTCATCATGGCATTTTGGTGGCATGACAAACGAGATGTCACACTGTTGTCATTAGTTCACCATAATGAAATGGCAGACACTGGCAGGCAGCATAGAGAAAGCAATGAACCCATTCTAAAACCTGCAGCTGTGATTGACTACACCCTCAACATGCGTTCAGTGGACAAATGTGACATGCAGATTGGGTTTGCTGATTGTGTTTGCAAGTTATAAGTGGTACATAAAACTTTTTCCATATTCTGGACATTTCCATGCACAATGCTTATAATATATATAAGATGAGGACCAGAAACAAACCACCATATGGCAAATTTTGTTTGTCTGTCATCAGACAAATAATAATCAAGTACCAAGGAACAGCACCTGCAACAGAAAACCGCCCACGTAATTATCAACAACTACCTTCTTGTCTGAAGCATGGTGATCACTTCCTAACAAAACTGCCTGCTACTGCTTTCAAGAAAAAGGCTCAGAAGAGGTGTTACATCTGTGCACATACAAAAAAATGCCCACAACAATGCAGACACTTGTTTTATGTGTGAGGAGTGTAAAACATCGTGCATGACACCATGTTTCAAAGACTTCTACAGGCTGCAGAACTTCTAAAAACATGTCCTGTGACTGTATATGTGTATATAAAATATAGAAAAATAGTAATAAACAACATTTTGTATTGTTCATTTGTGTAAATATGCTTTATAAACAAAATAGTGACAACAGTGTTTATGCAGTTATTGTGTAGTATAGAAAAAGAAATAACTTACAAAATAGTGCTCATATTGGTCTCACAGGCCATAAAAGTTACTTGGAAAAAAAAATTAAAAAATAATAGAAAATAGTACCTAAAAAATTAAATAAAGTAATACCGGGTGACCAGCAGTCGGCGATGTTACCGTATGCCGATCATTTTCTGTCAACTTCACACCTCCATATCTCGGTAAATATTGATGGTAAAAAAATTTTGTTTAGCCTATAAAATGCAGAAAAAAAACACTATCTTTTCATAAGAAAAAAATCATTTTTTTTTTTTTTAATTTTTACCGACCCTGAGAACAGGTTTGGGAGAGGGCCTGCCTACCCTGAAAAGGTTAAGGGTTAATACTAATAATCATAGCACTCCCCTTGAAGGGACCTGATTAAAGGAATTAACTCTGACATATCACTATTTTCATATGGTGCCAAAATAATGAGGAGAATACAAATAGAAGAGGATGAAAAGATGCTGCAGAAAGACTTAGATTAACTTCCCAAATGGTCAGATAAATTGTTACTGTAATTTAGTCCATGCAAATACAAATTTATAAAGCTGAAAGATTAGTAAAGAAGATCAAAACAGAGTACCATAAATGGTTAAAGAAAAAACTGAAGGATAAACATTATTCTGAATTTATTCAAGGATGTGCATATGGGAAAAAAGTGTGTGTGAAGAAAGTGAATGGAGGCATGTAAGGATAAAGTTGAAATAAAGCAAGTAGGAGCAGAAAGAAGAGTAGAGACAAAGAAAAATAAATAGCGAAAGCACAGAAAAGACAGTATTGAAAAAAAAAAACATGGGTGAGGAAAACTATGTGAGGAAGAAGGAAAGAACATAGCTCTAATCCTAGTCCTGTTACCTAGTTATCTACAAACATACATTGTGATTTGAAATTTCCCTCTGTGCCTTGGGTATCTCCATTATTTTAAGGAGGCCTAGCTTCACTATCCCTCTTTGTTTATACTCCTACACACACCCAGATTATGGATACATCAGATTCCATTCTCTTTCTTGTGTTTTCATCACTCCTTATTTTGGATATTTTCACCACCTTCTAATTTCTGGATATTAAAAGGTCACTGAACACAGGTACCAATGATGCTGAAGATGCCAAGAATTTTAGGTGTGAGAGAATGCCCATTTCAAAGAAAGCAGAAATGATAAGACGTACTGAAAGGTGTTACTCATGTGGTGATGACCTGTGTCTTCGGTCATGTGGTGATGACCTGTGTCTTCGGTCATGTGGTGATGACCTGTGTCTTTGGTGTTAGAGAATTAACAATTTGTACAATTCAAAAGCATGTGCCTTGAATAACACTGATACTAACATGCTGAAAAAATGTTGAAGAGATCAATATAACTAAACAAAATGGAAAAATTAGTGTAAGAGCATCCCACTAAGTGCCCTTATGAAACGTAATCATACTATAAAACAGTGTGTGAGCTGGAAGGAAAGTATGAAAAAGTGATCATTTAGTGCAAGATGGTTTCACAGTTTGAAAATGTATCATCAGTTTCATAACAAAATGTAATGGAGAAAGTGCTTCTGCTGATTATGCTGCCACAAAGTTTCCCAGCTGAGTTAGAAAAACTTATTTCTGAGGGTGGCTACAAGACTACGAAAATGTTTAATATAACAATCCACAACTATTCACCCCTGCCTAATAAGTCCACAGCAACCCTCTCCGCTGGCATCCAGGTCAACATGCATCAAAAACCAGAATTCAGGGTACAGTAATAAAAAAAATGTTTTACATAATATTTTAAGGGTGAGTGGCTACTACTGAGTGGTGAAGGATATTGGAAAGTGAGAAGGAGGGGAAGAGGGTGGGAGTGAATGGAGACGAATAGTTTTTAGAAACTGATGAGCTGCTGGAGTGTGAGCAGGGTAAAATTTTGTGAAGGGATTTAAGGAAACCAGTTAGCCAGACTTGAGTCCTGGAGGTGGGAAGTACAATGCCTGCACTTTAAAGGAGGGGTTTGGGATACTGGCTGTTTAGGGTGACATCTAAACTGTCATACCTGGGCCCCTCTGCAAAGACAGTGATTGTGTGTGAATGATGGTGAAAGTGTTTCTTTCTTTTTTGGGTCACTCTGCCTCGGTGGGAGACGGCTGGCATGTTAAAAAAATTAAACTGTTATTAAATCAAATTTAGTAGTTAATACTGTACCTCAATGAGCTGTGGCGGCCCAGCAGCCAGAAGGTTGAGTGTAGACAGCAGCATCCAGCCATTACTACTCTCTTCACAGCTGTCTATCTCCAAGAACCTCACTATAGCACAGGAAGCAGCTTCTGTTGACTGGTTTGATGCTCGTCGCCTAATCTCGGTTACCATCAACTTGCTAAAAATTTTAACATTTTGTGATAAAATAATTTACAAAAACTGATTACTGTTCCTTTTTAATACAAAATAAAAATATATTATAAAAAACAAGGATTATAGTGTAAATTGCTGATGGTGGTAGTAATGGTGATAGCAATGGTGGTAGTGATGGTGGTAGTGATAGTGGTAGAGGGTGGTAGTAATGGTGGTAGAGGGTGGTAGTAGTGGTAGAGGGTGGTAGTAATGGTGGTAGAGGGTGGTAGTAATGGTGGTAGAGGGTGGTAGTAATGGTGGTAGAAGGTGGTAGTAATGGTGGTAGAGGGTGGTAGTGATGGTGGTAAAGGGTGGTAGTGATGATGGTAGAGGGTGGTAGTGATGGTGGTAGAGGGTGGTAGTGATGGTGGTAGAGGGTGGTAGTGATGGTGGTAGAGGGTGGTAGAGATGGTGGTAGAGGGTGGTAGCAATGGTGGTAGAGGGTGATAGCAATGGTGGTAGAGGGTGATAGCAATGGTGGTAGAGGGTGATAGCAATGGTGGTAGAGGGTGGTATGTAAAACTATAGTTATTCTCTATAATGTAATCTTTTGTGAATACTTTTGGGTGTCTGGAATGGATTAATTGGATTTACATTATTTCATGTGGGAAATATTGCTTCAGTTTTTGTCGAGTTCAGTTTTATTCAGACTTTCTGGATCGAATTAATGACAAAAACCGAGGTTCCACTGAAGCAATATTACAATTAGTAAATTTAGTAATGGGAATGGTTAAGTCTTGGCATGATACACTTTTTCTATTACAGTTTCTATATTGGGAGAGTATCTAAGGCAAACTTAGAGCTAATCTAAGATTTATTAGGCAGTAGCTATACAGTGGACCCTCGCCTAACGATATCAATCCGTTCCTGAGAGCTCAACGTTAGGCGAAATTATCGTTAGCCGAATTAATTTTCCCCATAAGAAATAATGGAAATCAGATTAATCCGTTCCTGACACCCCAAAGTATGAAAAAAAAAAATTACCACATGAAATATTAATTTTAATACACACAAACTGAAGAAGACATGCACAGTTACATGACACTTACCTTTATTGAAGATCTGGTGATGATTGATGGGATGGGAGGAGGGGAGACTGTGGATGGTGTTAATTTTTAGAAGGGGAATCCCCTTCCATTAGGACTTGAGGTGGCAAGTCCTTTTCCGAGGTTACTTCCCTTCTTTTAATGCCACTAGGACCAGCTTGAGAGTCACTGGACCTCTGTTGCACAACATATCTGTCCATAGAGGCCTGTACCTCACATTCCTTTATGACATTCCTAAAGTGTTTCACAACATTGTCAGTGTAATAGTCACCAGCATGGCTTGCAATAGCTGTGTAAGGGTGATTTTCATCAAAAAAGGTTTGCACTTTAGGCCACATTGCACACATTTCCTTAATCTTTGAAGTAGACAACTTCTTCAATTTCTCTATCCCCTCCTCCAGAACAATTTCCTCAGGTCTGGCCTCTTGCTGTTGTAGATGATCCAGCAGCTCATCAATGGTTAGTTCTTCATTGTCCTCCTCCACCAACTCTTCCACATCCTCCCCACTAACCTCCAACCCCAAGGACTTCCCCATTGCCACAACGGATTCCTCAACTGGCATTAGGATTCCAGGGTTAGCCTCAAACCCCTTCAAAATCCATTTGGCTACACATTCTGGCCATCCTCTTAGTCACTTCCTCCCAAGTCTTACTTATAATGTTTACACAATTGAGGATGCTAAAGTGATCTCTCCAAAACTCTCTTAGAGTCAATTGAGTTTCTGAGGTCACTACAAAGCACCTTTCAAACATAGCTTTTGTGTACAGTTTCTTGAAGTTGGAAATACCTGCTGGTCCATGGCTGCAGGAGAGGAGTGGTGTTAGGAGGCAAAAACTTGACCTTAATGAAGCTCATTTCCGCAGAAAGTCGCTCTGCCACATCCGAATGATGACCAGGAGCTTTGTCTAACACCAGGAGGCACTTAAGGTCTAATTTCTTTTCAATTAGGTAATTTTTCACAGTGGGGGCAAATGCATGGTGTAACCAGTCATAGAAAAAGTCCCTAGTGACCCATGCCTTACTGTTTGCCCTCCACAGCACACACAAATTAGCCTTGAGGACATTGTTTTTCCTGAACACTCCGGGAGTTTCAGAGTGATACACCAATAAAGGCTTCACTTTGCAATCACCACTAGCGTTAGCACTCATCAACAGAGCAAGCCTGTCTTTCATAGGCTTATGTCCTGGGAGTGCCTTTTCCTCCTGAGTAATGTAGGTCCTGCTTGGCATTTTCTTCCCAAAAAACAGGCCTGTTTTGTCACAATTAACCTTTGAGGGTTTTCGTCGTACTAGTACGTCTTATGCGTAGGGGTTTTTGACGTACTAGTAGCATAAATTCTAGCGGCTCAAATCTCGCGCGAAAAGGCTCGTAGGCCTAGGTGTGAGAGAATGGGTCTGCGTGGTCAGTGTGCGCGGTAGAAAAAAAATCTGGGACCCAGTGGTGCATTGTGGGAATGCCCTCTTAGTAAACAATGTCCACATGCCTCGCGGTAAGAAGCTCCTCACTCCTCGGCGATTGGGACACTTTTGTTCCCCAGTGACAGTTCTAGTAGTGATGGAAGTGCCAGTGAAGATGAGTTTCGTGGTTTTAGTGAGGTTTTGACCGAAACTAATGACCATAATATCGGTAATAGTGAAGAAACCCAGACGACCCCAGCCTTCCACCTCTGGTGCTGGGCCCTCGTGTTCACGTTCAGTTGTTCCAGAACCCAAGAGGAAACTTCTATTTTCCCAAATCCAGACTCAGATGAGAGCATGGGTGATGATAGTGATAGTGAATATGAACTACAAGCTCTTCAAACTAGTTCCAGTAGTGATAGTGAAGTGCAATATTCCCCAGTGAAGCGTCAGTATATACGACGATATATGCGCTCTGGAAGTGTGCCATATGTTATACCAAGGGGAAGGAGTGTATCTCGGAGTACATCCTGTGGCTGTACAACAGGAACAGACAGTGAAAATGACGAAGATACTGTTGCAATTGGGATGGAAAATGTGCGTGGTGGTAGTGGTGCCGGCGGTGAGGCACCAGCAGTGGGCCATGCTGCCACCCACACTGCCACCCACGCCGCTGCCTCAGCTGATCTAGAACAAAGGCCACCATCCCCCACTCCCCCACCACACCAGCCTCCACAACCACAACCTCCACAACCACAACCTCCACAACCACAACCTCCACAACCACAACCACCTGTCATTGTCCAGTACCCACCAGCAGACCGCACCTGGGATTGGCAGGAAGCTGTCAATTTTGTTCCAAATCCCCACCAGTTTGATGGCAGCCAAAGTGGAATACGGCCATCTTGTGCACTTGGAACAATGCCACTGAACTGGAATGTTTCGAGTTATTCTTTGACGAACCACTGATGAAAAGTATTGTCATGGACAGCAACACATACTACGAGTACACCATGGCAAACACAGTACTTTCACCAAAATCACGTCTACACCAATGGAAGGAGGCAACTGTGGCTGAGATGTATCTTTTCTTTGCCACAATAATGCTTATGCCACATGTGTATAAGCACAAAGTGAAATCATACTGGTCAAGACCCCCTGATTGCAAACACCAGGTTTCAGTGATATAATGCCAGTGAATCGATTTGTGCTAATGTTACGTATGCTTCACTTCTCAGATAAAACAGGCCTGACAGAACTGACAGGTTATATAAGATTAGGAATGTGTTTGTGTATCTGAAACAGAAACTTCAGTACTCATTTTTATCCCTTCAGGAAGCTTGTAATTGACGAGTCTTTGATTCTGTTCAAAGGAAGACTCTCTTTCAAGCAGTACATACCAAGCAAGAGGAAACGCTTTGGTATAAAGTTGTTTGTGCTTTGTGATTGTTACAGTGGTCTGGTATTGGATATTATTGTGTACACTGGAAGTTATACATTGCAAAATACCAGGAAGTTATTGGGCATCTCAGGTGATGTGGTTCGAACAATGATAGAACCATACCTTGGTAAGGGGCATATATTATATACAGATAACTGGTACACAAGCCCCTCACTCAGTGATTTTTTGCGAGTGAACATGACAGATGTGTGTGGCACAGTGCGTGCAAATCGAAAACATATGCCCAGGTTTGATGCTGGCACTCGCAGAGGTGAGGTGCAGGCGTTTGCTGCCAATGACATCATGGCATTTCGGTGGCATGACAAACGAGATGTCACACTGTTGTCATCAATTCACCCTAATGAAATGGCAGACAGTGGCAGGCAGCATAGAGAGAGAAATGAACCATTCTAAAACCTGCAGCTGTGATTGATTTACACCTTCAACATGCGTTCAGTGGACAAATGTGACATGCAGATTGGGTTTGCTGATTGTGTTCGCAAGAGTTATAAGTGGTACATCAAACTGTTTTTCCATCTTCTGGACATTTCCATGCTCAATGCTTATAATATGTATAAGATGAGCACCAGAAACAAAACACAGTACGGCGAATTCTGTTTTGTCTGTCATCAGGCAAATAGTATTCAAGTACCAAGGAAATGCACCTGCAATTGACCGCCCACCAAATTATCAACAACTACCTGCTCGTCTGAAGCATGGTGATCACTTCCTGGTAAAACTGCCTGCTACTGCTTTGAAGAAAAAGGCTCAGAAGAGGTGTTACGTCTGTTCACATACAAAAAAACGCCCACAACAACGCAGAGACACTCGCTTTATGTGTGAGGAGTGCAAAACTCCACTGTGCATGACACCTGTTTCAAAGAGTTCCACAGGCTGCAGAACTTCTAGAAACATGTCCTGTGACTGTATATGTGTATATAAAATATAGAAAAGTAGTAATAAACAACATTTCATATTGTTTGTTTGTGTAATATTTTCTGTAAACAAAATAATGACAACAGTGTTTACGCCCTTATTGTGTAGTATTGAAAAGAAATAACTTACAAAATACTGATCATGTTGGCCTCAGAGGCCATAAA